ATGCATGCGTGTCCTTATACAAACTTTTTACTACTCCATTATCTATACAATTTGTGCTTAAACATTAATTCATGTCTTTTCGATTATGTATGTTCTTAATTCCGCAATTGTCATTTCCATGGGATCCTACAATTTCTTTCTACAGTTTAAAATGCAGTGGCTGGAGGAACCTCCTAAAGTCATTTATCTAAGGCATTATCTTTCTTTTTGTTCATTAAAACTATTCTCAAACTACAAATTTAGACAGGACTGATCAGTCCTATCAGCTTATCTTTTTAGAGGTTTTATAGCAGTAAATTTTAGTTGATAAATTTATAGATATCATTCGATATTAAGTTTCATTCTAGTTTGTTTTATTAATTCTTTTACCCAATTCAACATCTTTATTTAAATAATCCTATGATCCATATTTCACTCCATGATGTGAAGAGGGATGTTGTAATCACGCCATGAAGCTATTTAGGTAGCAACAGTACTCTCCAATTTCAATCACAATGATATTTTCTAGATCTTTGAGGTTCATTGACTATGGTTAATGGCATCTTAATCTCATTTATGCTTATCTTAGTCCTTGCCAAGGATGATGTGGATCATGGATTAGATGGTTGACCAACCATGCAAAAACACGTAATCCCCAACTTAAGTTACGCTTAAGTTTCATGAGTACCATATCACTTTCTATTATACCCTTGAATTGACATGCCGGCAAACCGCACACGCTCCATCAACATGTTGTAAAGAAAATGTGTGTTTTTCATGGGTAGCATATGATTCTTGTTTTTACTTATATTTAAAACTAGATTTTGTTTTAATATTATAAGTTAATACTTTTAACTTGAAACATTATCCTATCAAACCCTTTTGGTAAATTCACTCAAAACGTAAAAAGGCAATGAGGGTGAGCCTAGTCGCGGTAAGACTGATACTGTATTTTAAACATGTAAGGACGCAATGTTATACATATATATATATATATATATATATATATATATATATATACTACTTCAACATATATAGGAAAATTTTAAAACATTTAATTTTTTAATTTTTTAATTCCAATTAAACATGCGATGACGCAATCTTAATAAATTAATATTCACAATTATAATCATAATTATAAACAATATTTACATAAAAGAGGTATATCCAGTATTTGAAAAATCCTCCTATTTGTATTTCTTGCAAAACAAGTTAGGAAACTTTCCAAACAAGTTAGGGTTGCAAAAGTGTTTCCTAATCAGAATTTGATGCAACATTTTTCCAGAAAATGTTGTATTAGGGTCCGGTAATGCAACCTTTTTTTTTCAAAAAATATTGCATTAGGGTCTGCTGATGCAACCTTTTTTCAAAAAACGTTGCATTAGGGTGCAACATTTTTCTTAAAAACGTTGCATTAGGGTGCCACATTTTTCTTAGTAAACCCTAGATTTCAATTTTAGGTTTAAGGTTATGACCATTAAACCCTAGCTTATGGCACGAGTAATCAAAATAACCATAAAAAACGAAAGCAATAATTTTGCACCTTCTAAGCCCTAATTTTCAAAAACCATAACATGCAAACAAGATTTTATACAAATCAAATTGTATCTAACAGCCCAAATAATTATGAACTAAGGCTTTGATACCACTGAAAGGTTTTGAACATACTATCCAAGAACATATATTAGCGGAAGCATATAACAATTTTCTAATCAAATGTTCAACTAACCCTATAGGGTCTTATGTTCATAATATTATTCAAACTAAAAAATGAATAAGAAAAACATACCTCTTTGTTAGCTAATGATCTTCTAGCTTGAGATCTTGTTCTTGCCACCTTTGCTTGGATTCCATGAATCCAAAGGAGAATCCCTATAATGGAATCACACATACAAACATCACTTGAACAATAAAACAAACCCTAGGAGAGGGGAGAAAAAACGCAAAACCACAAACCATATAAGGGTTAGGTTTTTGTCCACCTTAAGGAAATGCAAGGGAGAACATAATTTCTAGCAAGTGAATGAGAAATTAAGGTTTAATCCCTAACTCCCTATTTAAAGGCATTCATTTGCGTATTGCCAAAGTAACATCCTTTTCTTGAATTCGACCCAGGGACTATTTCTATTAATTAAACTTTTAATTAATTAACATCCAATCCCTTTATTCATCAAATTCTAATTAATTAGATATTAGCTTCTAATAAATTTATCAAAACATGAAAAGTTAATAAACTAATTCTCCTAAATTATTTTTATCTTTTAATTGCTCAATTGGGTCTTAAGGGTAACCCAAAAGGTCCCCGGTATTATTAAAAATATTACCAATAGTTATGAACTTGGACACTATTTCCAACAATGCAAGCAAGTGCAGTCTCACAAATCTTTGAGCAATTATAATCTGGCACGAATCACCTATAAATCTACAAAGGTCCAACCTCAATCCATATCTCAAAAACATCAAAGTTAAACCAAAAGTAACACTTGTCAAAAAGTCAATAGCCAACAGTCAATTGGTCAAATTTTGGTATTTCTCATTGAGATGGAGGTGGGCGCGATAGAGATTTTGTTTGTTATGCAACTATATAAATTGCAGAAGTTTTGTAATTATGAACAAAATTTGACAATCGGGAAACATGTTTAACCAAAAAAATACCGCTATCATGTGCCCACAAGGTATATTACAACTTCGTCATTTCTCACATGTATAATTGATGATATCGATATCAATGATCCATGTATAATCTGGTACATCAAAGATGTTTTTCATACGTGTGTTGTCTCCTATGTAATAGACTTGTTCATTCTTCTCTCAATCACCATCGCCGCATAAGGGGTGAGTGTACCAAACATCTCAAAATATTAATAACAAGAGTTTGTGAACGAACTGACAGAATGGAAGTTTGGGAATCAAAATATCATCAAATTCCAAAGATAAATTGCTTGAAATAAGAAACGTATTACCAGTCTTTGGACCAAATCAATTACCAATCTTTTTTGGATCTAAACTTGTAGGTCTTTTTTGAATACTACATTCAAATAGACACAAACTTCAAAATTTACTAGGAGTAATGACACCAAACTTAAGATACACTCTTATTGATGCTAATCAGAGAAACATCATACTATTAGACAGAAAGATAATGTATAACTACTAGAATTTCTTCTCAAAACAATGTACATTGTCTCAAAGCATTCCGTGTGAAATTTAAAAAATTGTTCTACTATTATTAGTGAATGTTTCTAAAGAGTTGGGACCAACTCATCATTGGAAATCAACATTTGATTTACACATATTCTGTTAATTAGTGGAGTTTTCTCAAGAGTTTGGAATTTTTTACCAAGACTAGTAGCACACCACAAATACATAAACGTGAAAATTGAAAAGGAGTTGCATCTATCTAAAATGAATTAAAGTATACTAACGGTTAACTAGAAGTGACACCAAACATACACAACTAGTACTTGATTTTCTTCCATCTATAAAGAATGGAATTGTAATGACATATCTTATAAATGAAGAAATAGAAAATAGAGACTAATAGAAGCATTACCTCATCGGGTTCTTCGACCTAACTTCATAACTGTCTGAGTGATTTTGGTTTGTAACTTGGTGGGTTCGAGGTGAACACGTAAAGTAGCAATAGTGAATCACTAAAGAAGGAATTGTGTGCCCGAGTGAGTTCTGGCGTTCGTCAGTTCAATCATTCAGGGTTCATTCATGACTTTGTG